GGAGGACGTTTGGCTTTCACCTCTTCGGTTTTGTCCTGCCTTTCTTACTCATCCAGTTGTCCATCTCATAAGTTAACTTTCATAGCTTCCATACTAGTAAAGGTTCTTTTCATTTCAGAGCCTTTCAGACTTATTAGAAAGCACTGCACAGAGGATGCTTCAGGAAGATCCACCTCAAAGCTCTGGCTGACTTGGAATCATGATCACATTAAATAAAAATATATATACACACACACAGAGTTTCATTTTTTAAATCACCAGATTTCTGCACAGGAATTAAATACACAGACTTCTAAAAACATACACAATCTTCTATTATTTGAATTTACTTCAACTGCAGAAATCTGGGGAGGGGAAGGAAAGAAAAGCACACCAGCTATATCTCTGTATTACTTTACGTATAAAACCACTGCAGGAAAGGAAAACAACAACAAAAAAAAAGATCATCAATGCAGTTCCTCCAAACATCTCCACATTTGCTATCTGCAGCCTACCATCCTACCTGTCCTTGCGGAACAGCTGAAAACTAATCAATGAGAACTAAAGAAGCTCCTCTCATCTCTACCTGGATCTCAAAATTTCAACAAAGAAAAGTAAATACAACTTTCAATGCATCATATTAGTCCTAGTGCTGCTAATCAGAATGTCAAAATAAAAAATAATGGAAAAGATTAAAGAAAAACATGAAAGAGGTCCATCATAAGTCTATTCACCATACCAGAATAATTTCTATTTCTCAGAGATCATTTAAACATTGTTCTTATATAAGGACAAACCAGCTCATTAAAGAAAGCTACCATATATTTGTCAGATAATTTAAATATGGTGATAAAGTCTTTAGATCTGTATAAACAAATTAATTATTGCACTCATTCAATTATTAAAAAAAAGCTATAACCACTGCAATATCTACTAAGAATTTTCAGTAATTATGTCTATTGTAATTATCATGAATAGTAATCACATAACCTTCTAATGAGGCTGCCAAAAGATAATAAAATATCCTCGACATACTCCCCACACAGAGGGGCCAACACTTCCGAGCAGGACAAGCAGTGATTACTGTCAGAGCATGAATAACATACTCTAATTAGCACATAGTCAGCAGCTTATATTACTCAGCTATTCTTAGCTAAAAGCTTTATGCTTGCATACAAAAATAAAAACATACTACACGTACTAACAATATTATCCTTCACATCCCATTCAGGTAAAAAAATTGTAAAATCAAGTATGAATATTTGGTGTATGAGTATGAGTATTTGGTGACATGGACAGTGGGATCGAGTGCACCCTCAGCAAGTTTGCAGATGACACCAAGCTGTGTCGTGTTGTGGACACGCTGGAGGGAAGCGATGTCATCCAGAGGGGCCTTGACAGGCTGGAGAGGTGGGCCTGTGAGAACCTAATGAAGTTCAACAAGGCCAAGTGCAAGGTCCTGCACATGGGTCATGGCAACAACAAGCACAAGTACAGGCTGGGCGGAGAATGGATTGAGAGCAGCCCTGAGGAAAAGGACTTGGGAGTGCTGGTGGATGAGAAGCTCAACATGAGCAGGCAATGTGCACTGGCAGCCCAGAAAGCCAACCATATCCCGGGCTGCATCCAAAGCAGCATGGGCAGCAGGTCGAGGGAGGTGATTCTGTCCCTCTACTCTGCTCTCATGAGACCCCATCTGGAGTACTGCGTTCAGCTCTGGAGTCCCCAGCACCAGGACATGGAGCTACTGGAACGAGTCCAGAGAAGGGCCACGAAGATGATCCAAGGGCTGGAGCACCTCTGCTATGAAGACAGGCTGAGAGAGTTGGGGCTGTTCAGCCTGGAGAAGAGAAGGCTCTGGGGTGATCGATCTTATAGCAGCCTTCCAGTAGTTAAAGAACTTCCAGGCCTACAGGAAAGCTGGAGAGGGACTTTTTACAAGGGCGTGTAGTGATAAGACAAAGGGCAATGGATTTAAACTGAAAGTGGGGAGATTTAGATTAGATATAAGGAAGAAATCTTTCACTCAGAGGGTGGCGAGGTACTGGAACAGGTTGTCCAGAGAAGTTGTGGATGCCCCATCCCTGGAAGTGTTCAAGGCTAGGTTGGACGAGGCTTTGGGCAACCTGGTGTAGTGGAGGATTTCCTCGCCCATGGCAGGGGGGTTGGAACGAGATGATCTTTGAGGTCCCTTCCAACCCAAACCATTCTATGATTCTATAATATGAAAAAAAATAATTTGCAACTGAAGGCTGATACTAGGGTTATGAGCAGGTCTCACTAACTATTGACTACAACACAATAAGGATCCCTGTGTATACTACAGAGTTGTAAAATGTGTTCCTAGCAGACCCCTGGCCTACGGAGAAGCCCGGAGTCTACTTCGCAGCTATGGCTCATACCAATACACATATCTTGTCCGGTTTTGGCATGAAGCTTATTTTTAAAATATCATTTCACTGAAAAGCATTTCCACGTGTCTTTAAATTTGGTATTACCAACGGGAATCCTGAAAAGCACAGACAGATATTGTACCAACGACTTAAGTCAAAACAAAATTCCCAAAGCGATGCATTTGTTCTCTAATTGTAAACAGCCGAGCAGCACCAGTGCAAGCCTTATGGTTTAAACCAGCTAAGCTGCTTCTATTTTTTAGAAAGCATCATATCTACATTTGATTGGCATCTGTTGACAAAACTCAGAATTAAATACATTAGTAAATAAATTGGTTGTCATGTAGCTACACGATTTCAAATACATTCCTCTCTCTTCTTTCAGAGTCTGAGAAATATTTTTTTTAAGTAGTTTGCAGTAGCTTTAAGAACAGGCAAGTACACAGAAAAGAATTAACACAGAATGATGGAATAAAGAATGAAAGATTTCAAATTAAGAGAAATGAGAGTATCATTACATCTATATTCTTTTGAACTCTATGAACGTATCTAAACTGTCTGGGTATTTTTCCCCAGCCTCTGCAGTGAGATGGATTTTTAAAAGAACTTGGTGAGAGGCACACTAGGAAGCACACTCACCTAGCTCCTAGACCCTCCCCAAAAAAGACACATAGGCACTGAACATATTTGGACATGCTGGATTTCAAGACTGATATTTTCTGAAATCTACCCCACAACATAAGTTATTGATTACCTGAAAACATAGAAAAGTTGACCATTTTCCCTATAAATCTTTTACCATATTTTTCTACACACTGAATGCTTTGTTACTGTGATTACTGGTTACTGATTACTCTGATTTAGTGGCTTTTCCCTCTATTCTATTTACAAACATACTTTCTTAGTAAGGCAAGCTGGCCTGAGAACAAATATTTTCAAACAGAACTGCTATATAAATATCAAAGATATACTTTGCTCTTAGTTATAATGTTATCTTACATTAGCAGGACAATAAAATTACAAGTTCACACAGGTGGGTTTTTTTTTTTGTGAGAGAAAATTAGTTATGTGCTAAGAAAAAAAATCTGGAAAATTACCAACACACTTGCATTCTGATCTCCCCCTGTCCGTTTGTGTTTATTATGAAATTATGAACTATTATGCAATTATAACTCACCCTTGCTTCATTCTGCTGAAGCTTTTCTTCCATACTTAAAGCTGTTGGAGAATCCAAGAGTGCGATCTAAAATTGTAAAAAATAAACACCATCAAGTAAAAAAAAAAATAAAAAAAGAAGAAAAAAGGGTACAACTGCTGGTGAACTCAAATGAAAGAAACGCAACTGTTAACTGTTTTGATTCTTTAGGATGAAGAATTTTAAACTCCAACATACATCATTTTACCTTGAAATACTGTAAAGACAGTAATCAAAATCTTGCCAAAGCAGGTATTTCAAATAAAAATTGTTGGTTTGGAAATACTGTTTTCATTCACTATGAATATGCATTGTCAAACACATGCACACAGTGAGCCTGGACACAAGTTTATAACGGGTAATTCATGATACATCCATGTTTACATTTCTGTTAAACACAAAAATTTATTGTGCATCAACATTTAATCATTTTGCTATAGTACATACGTATACTGCTTATCTTTAATAAATATATATTAAGGTAACCGGCCTTAGAAAAGGAAACCTACTATACAACACACACGCACACAAGCAAAACTCATTGTTGTGTGACCTCCTGCACTGAATTCAGCCCTATATTTTGGTAACCAGTATCTTCAGTGATCTACAGAAACATTGGTGATACAGTATTCTGGCAATATAAAGCAAGACCACAAAAGAAATTATACAGGGATTTATATTCTACTGTGCATACATAACACCACCTGCTGTTTTACCAACCATCACAAATTCAATTAACTTAAGCGAGTTCTCTATTGTCTCCCACACAGCCATCTATCACATCCTACAACCCAACTAGATTTATTTGGCGAGATCCACTGTTTTACAGCTTGGAACTAGGTCAAAGCATTAGATCTTCAAAGGGGTCCAAGTTACAGCTACTTTGCTAACTCTAAATCAAACTATATTTCAAAACTAAATTCGTTTTCCTCTCCTAAAGAATACAGGAGAAACACGAGTATAATAGAGTAATTCAACCCATAAAGAGATTTCTAATTGTTTGTAACAAAGCAGAGCTTTCCGCTTCAATCATCTACAATACCTATTACTGCTTCCAACTGTGCTCCCATCCCCTTTTTCAGCAAATGTTTTATAGCATGAAAACTAGCTGAAGTACTACCCTCTACTAAAAAAAAGTCTCTGCTGAACTGACATTTCACATTGCACAGCCCATCTAAAATAAAATTAGATAGTTCTAGAGATAAATCTGAAGTATCATTTCAGATTCCAAATTGCATTTGCTCAAGTATGAAATCTAGCAGTCCCAGGTGACGTTATTTAGAAGAGAAAACTGGCCTGAGTCAATTGAATACCCCTTATTGTTAACTTGGTTTCAGCATCCTGGAAACAGGAGAAATTAAGCCTAACTGAGCTTGTGGAGCAAACATTTATAGTGGCTGATACTGATCGAAGTAAGAAAGAGAATCATGCATAAGGGAAGTAGAGCATGACGTATTTCTTACACCACCACTGAAAATACTTTTCCATATTTAGCATGTTACATGCTTTCTAATGTACTGTGCAGCTAAACACAAATGCAATGTATCGTTCAAACCCATCCACGCTCCTACATTTTTATACTTAGCACTTTAAATACTTTAAACTTTCTACTTCTTTCAAGATACTAGATAAAGTACCTCTTCAGTCCATCAGGCTAGACCCTGGAAATACATTACTGCTCCGTCTCCTTACGCTGTGGTGACTACCTGTTTCACAGCACACTGCAATCAAGCTCTGATTATATTAAGAGAGAGCTAAAAGCTTTGGGATGACAATTTTTCCCCCCTTATGTTAAAAGAGGTAATCTACTGGCCATATGGAAACTGATTCCATCAGGAAAATAATATTCATTCATAGCCTCATAGAGCTTGTTTACTCAAATCAATATAATGAAAGATAATTATCTCATTACATTCTAGAAATAGATGTTATAACTCAAGGAAAATTACACATAAATTTCAAGTAAAGCTAACCTGATTCCCTTGAGCGAGCAGGGCTTTTAATCGGGCTATTTCAGCTCTCAGCTCACGGATCAGTTTGACGTTAGGATCCTCATTAATAGTAGGCTTGTTGATGATGTTTTTGGCTCTATTTGCATAGCGAAGTGTACTTAAAGTTTCTCCATAATTGACATCAGCAGGTGAAATAGCTAAGGAGAAGAAATCAGAAACAGTTTATCCAGCACCATATGTGTCATTTAGTATAGTTTATATTTTAAAAGTCAGATAAAGTTTATGTGGATGAAGAGACAGAAATATAGGATTAACCAGTATGGCTGCAATTTGTTCCAGTTCTTCACCTAGCTCCACTGCTTCCATGTCATTGTAACTTTGCTTAAGTAAACACTGTATTAGCATAGTGTCTTAGAATAATGAGGTCCAACAACCAAGTGTTGTAAAGAAAACTTGCTGTCAATCTACTTAACATTTACATTTCTCTAGTGAGCATAAACATCCTATATGAATATTTTACAGGCTTTCTGGCAATTTTTTTTACAAAAACAGTGGGGAAAAACAGTGAGTATTTTCTAAGTATCAGTGAAATCATTGAATGGAAAAGTCATTTTGGGTAAAAACACAGTAGATTCAGTTCAAGTTTTGAAGGGAAATTAAAGTTACCTTGAAACAGGTGCTGTAGCATTCAGCCAATCACTCTGGGAGATGGATGGTCAAGTGACCAATAGCCTTGACCCATCTAGCAAACCATGTGACTCCTGACTATTTAAGGCAGGGTGTTTACTTCTAAGGGTGAGGCATTTCCTCCTGAGTCTTGGAGGAGTGTGGGCCTTCCTTAGAGTAAGCCTGAAGCCTTCGCATTAGAGCATTGGTCTACTTGGAGCCACCTGAAGCCTTCCAGCTGCGACAAGTATTTTCTAAGTATCAGTGAAATCATTGAATGGAAAAGTCATTTTGGGTAAAAACACAGTAGATTCAGTTCAAGTTTTGAAGGGAAATTAAGCAGCACTCAAACAAAAAGCAGACAGGAAAACCAAAACAAGAGAAGAGCTTCTACAATTTACAAACCTAGCTGTTCTGCTGAGCTGCAGGCAGCTGGCAGCATGCAGAACTGTTACCTATCTGATGCATCAAGAGAAACCAGTATTATTTTTACAGGCAACTTAACCAGGAAAAACAACAGAGTTTAAATGAAAATGTTAATCCTTTTCCTTTATCCTTCATTTAATTTTCCTAACAATATACAAGATGTTCACAATTAAAAAGATAATTACTGCATCCAAATAGATGAGCAAAAACACAGAAGAGAACACTACACAGAAACGATGAGGTACCAGAAGTCTTAATAATCAAACAAGAGACCAAGAGAATCAGATGATGAAAACGCCTGTAAAAATAATCAAGTAACAAAATATTCTGCCCTTCTTCATTCTTTCAACAGTAGTAAATATTATTTTTGTGGTAGAGACTTCCTGAATTAGGGGAGATGCACTTGGCAACAGACTATACTCTCCCCAGCTCACACTATCACTTCCCTACTTTATCTACTGTCTCCTCTCCACTACTCAATTATCCTTCTAGAAAGGGAATGTTACAATACGTTACAGAAGCATGACAAATCAGAATTGGATGTATTTTTATAAAAGCCTTTCCTACAGTTTGAGATGATCTTCCTGCTTTTTTTGTATTTAGTTACAGAAAAGGCAGGCCAAACGTATCCAGACAGCTTGTCAGGCTCTGTTAGGCAATTCAGCCACGTTATTGTTGAAGAAAAGATCAACCATCAGGGCTCTGCCTAGCAGAAGGATCGTTAATAGCTGAGGAAGTAGGTGAAAAAGCAGTTGGGCACTGTAATCATTAGTATAGGCATTGAAAGCTCACTATGTTTCTAAAACTTCTCTTCTCAATCCCTCTGTCAAAAAAAAAAAAAAAACACACCAAGTTACTTAACCATGTAACTGAAAGAAAGCATCGAGAAGAAAGATGCCAGCACAGTGTTACTTAAACAGCCAGAAAAACAAAGCAGAGTCTGGTCTAAGATCCTCTTTTCGTACCATTGTGATCAGTCTGAGGAAAGAAAGCGGCATGGATTCCAGAAACATCCCCAAAAAATCATGCAACAAAGGAACCGCTATCCAGAGAACTTGACGGTAACAAAGTGGTTGAAGAATGAGAATTTGATCCAACACATTCTATTCTCTCAGTTCTGCGCTCCCACCATTCCCAAGAGAGGACCGCATCAGTTAGACCACATTTCATTTGAGCAGGAAAGAGCGAGAGAAATTTCAGAGCTGCTCTTCTCTTCACACCTTACATCTGTGACATACAAAATCCTCCCCTCCCCTTAAACATCCTCCCGGTTTCACTTGGGTTTTTTGGGGAATGGAAATCCAATTCCAATTAGTTGGAAAACCTGCAATACATATGCCATAGGTAGGTTTTTAAACCGAGCTTCCTACGGGTAAAAAGCAAACTGTAAGAAAAGTTTGCAAGACGGCTGATCATAAATAATTAAACTTAGACAAAAAGTTAAAGCACTGTGTATGTTCAAAAAGTAGGTTAAATAAAAATGACAGTCTTACCTACTGAAAGTCAAAAGAGATCAGGTTGTTTCTGCTACTAACGCAACAAAAACCAACAGCATTTTTTGGAAAAGGAAACTGATTCACACATCAGTATTGACTAGATGCACAAAGCTGGAATTTATGGGTTTTTACTAGGGATCAAAGCCTGCAACTTGAGGAGGAGAGGTGTAAGGGGAGAAGTACAAGACTTTATCAAGTCCAGGTTTAAGTATTTAATATGAGGAACAGCTTGTCCAGAATGCAAATGAACCTCCAGAATAAAAGGAACTATGGCTTGAAGTTTAACTGCTCAGATTAGCTAACCATTACACCAAGTGCATGTGAAAGAATCACAGCAGTGAGGTAGGTGTCAGAGCAAATGCCAACAATTAGGCACATACATTTAGATGATCCTTAGTTACACAAACAAATGTCTAATGACTGTACGTTACAATCTGGACGCCTTGTTACGTTTGTGACCAAATACTCAGCCAGTAACACATGCACCCAAACAGATGATCTGCATAAGAAAATGAAGATCTTGAATTCAGGAGACATACCTGCTATTGTTCATGACATGACTAAACAACTAGCCTGTCCCCAAATATGCAATGAGACCCTATACAGTTCTACTACCGGAAGAGATGTTCTGCAGAGTGTAGGCAAAGGCAGAGTGTTACTAGAAAACTCAGAAAGACATTGTTAACGTGTAAACAATGTTCTGCCTTAACAAAGCATCTGGAATCTAGTTTACAGTCACTCCTATTAGGCATGAATTGTTCAGGATGTAAAAAAGTCATTTCAAAACACTTACTGGCAATCATTATAGTTTTAGAGTTTCCACCTAGGCTGTCTTTTAATAGCCAAGTCAACACGGAGTCTCTGTAAGGCACAAATACTTGTTTCTTCTTTGAAAGAGGATTTGTTGCATCCTGAGATAAATCAGCTGTGACATGGAGATAAAAAAAAAGCACTTATGTATTTTCATTCATTTTAAAAAACGGTAAGCATTAGGCCACTATTTGTGTAAGTAAAAAAGAACAGAAGTGTAAGTAAACAAACAGAAAAATAATTAATTACTAAAAAATAACTCCAAACAGACAAGCACAAAAACCAGAGACTTACCTAAGGCAGAAATTACATTTCCCAGAGTAACTAGAGATTTATTAATATTCCCTCCTTCCTTTAATCTAACCCCTGTGGCACCGGTGGCATCCGCTCTCTCACTTCCAGCAAGATCTACCAAATGAATCTTGCTAACAGTTTCACAAGGCATTTCAGAATCAAATTTAGCCTACAGAAAAAAAAAAAAAAAAACCACAATAAAAAGAAAAGTATGTTAAGCTACGAAATTCTGAAATTTTACTGAATCCAACTTAGTGGCCTTTTCCATATCATGATTGAATTTGACTTGTTCACAATAGCAGAGCTTCAGAAGACAGGTGTATTAGAGATGCTGCAGAAAGGCATTTGATCATGAATGGCTGCATAACTCCCATACAAGTAGTTACTTCTTTAAATTGTAATATTTGCAACTTTCTCACCACTCACACATATGCACTGACAACTGTGATTTACGTGATGCACAGGGAACACGTGCTGCATTCATTTTATTAAGCTTTCAGTATTTGTATTATATTTATATTTAGTTTTCAACAAGTTACAGCATACAGAGACACATTTACACTCAATTTCTCCCCCTGCCTCCAAGTTCAAGTAAGCAGCACTCGCAATTTTATTCTATGATTTTTAACTGAGGCTTCCTCACAATTTTTATCTTAATTCACACAAATCAACTCAGATTGCCCTGTTTCAAACTTCCTTCTACTTTTACAGTACAATAGTAGAACAAAACCTTTTGTTGCCTGCCTCTTACCCCCTTCTGAAAGCTGTGCGATGAGCAATTCGTCATTAGTGAAGAGCTGGTGCATGGGATTTTGTGCATGTGTTTTGGGTGGGAGACATGAAAAGTTTTGTCAGAAGAGTGAACCATCTCTATGCTACCTTCTCTTCATCTAGGAGGTTATCCATGGACTGTTTAAAAATTTCCCCAAAAAGGATAATGAAGAGCAGTGGCCATTAGAAAAGGAGTTTACTACATATAAATAAAAAGATCACTATGCTCCGAGAAAACGCGTTACTATTCCATCGTTACTCAAGGAATAAAAGTAGGTCTCCAATAGTAACAGATGAAGAGTCAGTAAGAAAACACTCAGAAAACATTTCTACACTCTATGATTTGGGCCATGGAGACAGATTTTTTCATAAGCCTTGGAAAACGTCAGAGCGTTAAAGGTAGCTGACGTTCAGCTCTGGCTGAAGTCTCCCACAACACACTCCTCACCCACTCCTGGCACAGCAGCGTCGTGAAACACACCCACACTGGTCACTGCTATTCAGCCTCGACTATCAACAATTATCTCCTCAAAATCTATTCAATATCATTTTAAGTAATCACATTACAGTGTAAATTTTCAAGATTATAATCACTGATAAACACATTTATAATTCTCAAAACAGTCTTCTCACGCTTTTAACTTTCCCTATCACGAGACAAAAACATAGTCATTATCCACCCATAGTTGCTTATTTGACAATCTTATTTTTTAATTATGATATGAATTATTGAATGTAAAACACATATTTAGGCAGGGGTGGTTATTTTGTTACCTGAGTGAAGTTGATGGTGAAAATGGCGTGCGACCTGCTACTGACATCATTCATTCCAGTTGCAGCCGTCGTTCTATTTATATTTCCTGCCTCCATAAGTTCCTCTACATCAGTATAATTTTGCACTAAATGTTTAGACAAATCTAAAGAAAAGCAGAGTGTTACGGTATACTCATATGTGCACTTGATCTTCTTTACAAAAAGATTGAGATAATTCTCACTACTGCAAAGTATTGCTGCAATTAGTGTTTATTGTCCTACTTGTTTATCACTTAAGGAAAGTAATGAGGCCTCATGTGAACAACGGATAACTTACACATTTACAGTAAATTAAGAAAAAATATGCTATCTTACTAAAGCACTTAGTGCAATAACATAAACATAATCCCTCAAGAGATAGAAACTTTCCTTGGTAGAGGACAGATTAAGACAATTAGACCCTAATAGGTTCTTTCCATCTAAGCATTAACGATTTATGAATTATAGTCAACAAATTCTTAAAACCAATTTGCATCTCTTAACATTATTTAAAAACGTGTTATAAATTTCCAGATAAAAACTGCACATGTATAATAACCTTAGAATCAGGAAAGTGAATGTGGATACAAATGAGAGGCTATTCTCCTTTAATGCTTTTATATCAAAGGAAGGCACTGTTTCCATCATCATTTACATTTTAAGATATAAAAATGGCCTATGCAATTAGATAAGACATTTTAAGATACGTAAAGCTAATAAAATATCCAGTGCAAAACACTGAAAGTGTTTTTTACCTTCAACATACGGCCCTTCTTTTGGGTGTTCTCTTATTCGTAAATTGTTAGTTTTTGATGACTTCCGTCTGAGAAGATCTCTCACGCGTTCATTATAAATTTCCAGATAACTGAAAGGAAAAGATTAGAAAACCACTGACTGATTCAAGAGTCTTTAAAAAAAAAAAAAAAAAAGGAAAGCCATGTTAACGATGCCTGGAGAAGCAAATGGATTCAAAGCTGGCTTAAGACAGTAATGACTACAGTGTACTTGTACCATAAGGAAAAAAGCCAAAAAATCAAGGAGCAGAAAGGAAGCAGATGTTAGCAAGATCAAGATCTCCTAATGTCAGCCTGAAAGAAAGGGTAAAAATAAGGAAGATGCTGTCTAGTAGCAAAGGCATTATCATTTAAATAAAGCAAATGCACAGCTGTTGGATTAAAGTTAGAAGTATTGCGCATTTTGGCTACGACTGCCAACAAAAATCAATTATAGGACTGAGGCCAAGCATGGAAAGTTATTTGAAAAACACACACTTTTCTCAGAGATAGTAAATGAAACAGGGTGGTTGTAACTGAAACAAGTTTGATAACCAGCAAGCTATTAACATGCCAAGACCTACCTGACTTCTGTGCGAAAGGATGCCTCATTCCGCTTTGTTTTTTCACTTATTTTGCTGAACAATCCTTCACAAATTCGAGGTATTAAACCTGCATCACCCTGCAACAACAATTCTTATTTCCAAGGCTATATAGGTACATGCAATGTATTTTGAAAAATAAAAGCCAAGATCTCTAGCTAAGAGTCCCAACATTCAGAAAAGGGGAAAAATGAAAACTTTGCAGCAAACACTTTCTTACCCTTTCTTTACCTGCAGTCATCTTGCCACATTAATCCTCGTGTGTACGTTGGAACCTATATACTCGCTGCGATTCTCTGCTATTGGAATACATTTCCCCCTCCTCACTTAGTTCAAAGAACCCCAACTGCTTAAGGCAGAAACTGGCTCCCCAGAGCAACATACGAACTGCCTTTCCTCAAAACTATCTTTTCTAACTTATTATTCTACCTCATTTCACTAGGGACTGGGCAATATCTGCAGAGAATGGGACAAGAGCCATATATGTGCATCCATGAGCCATTCTCACTCAAACCCCCAACCCCCAGCTCACAGCCCATCCTGTTTTGAAAGACGCAGCAGGTCATCTGGATAAATTAGTATGCAATAACAAAATTAAAACTATAATCACTGTATCCCACAATGCAGCCAAATTAAATTTGATATTTAACTATTGAACGCTCAAGTCTGTAGTTAAAGAGTTTTCATGCATAACGTGCTCGGTCAGTTTAATAAAGCGAACTGAAAAAAACATATTCCTTCTCTCAGATCTCTACAGACTATGTGGTTTACTAGCAGAGCTGCAAGTATCCATTACAGGGTCCTTGTCACTTCAGCTAACACAGCAGCCAGCAGCAGCAGGATGTTATCTTCTCTGTTAAGCTGGCACTTGAGAACTGAGCTGCATCCCAGTGAGGCTGCAGCTCCACCGCCGATGTCAAACACATGTCAGACTGTGAAGCAGCAGCTAACACCGCTGAGATATCCAGAGACTTAGCATGCAGCTCTCCTCTTCCCGCTGCTCCAGGGAGACCCCCTTCCAGCCAAACATCAAGGCAGTAAATCAAAGCCAGGGTCTTCCCCAGCAGCAGAGAGGAGCGAGAGAGTGCCAAGAAGCTCTGGTCTCAGCTGACGAGGGGCTGCTTGCTTCCAGCTGCCCCATTCCCACTGAGTCTGATTAGGTAGATGACCAGCCACCTGCTGAGAACATCTCCTCCCCACTACTTCAGGGAGACAGCAGCTAACACGCCTTCAAAGCCAAAATGAGTAAGCACGGCTCCCAGGAATAAAGAGAGAGGATACACACATACAGATGAGCTTCGGGCTCAGAGCTGCAAACTCAGAAGCAGCTTACAAAATAGTGTCAGCTACAATTTGCCTCCAGTCCAAAAACACCTAAGAGATTTGATGCGATGGACCAATTCTAATTCTGGGCACCACTGAGGCAAGAAATGTTTCTTGCTTAGAGTTAGGGGCCTTATAATTAAACAGGAGGCAACCTAGGACAAACCAGACCAAACATCCAACGTGAGCATAGCCCGGGCACTCCAGGCACTCAAGTAAGTTTGCCTGGTCGGATTCTACAGATATCTGGCAGCAGGAAAACACAAAGACAGTGGACTACTGTGCATCAAACTCTGGCAGGGTGAGTGTTCCACAGGCAAAGGTTTCTCTCCTACTCAGAACCCCAGATAAAATCTGATCCTTTTTGCCCAAAACCACTTCAGTTTGCTCCTGTGCTGGTCCCCTCTGTCCTCAGTCTTCAGCTTCCCACTGCTGTCCCAGCAGTCGTCTTCTAGGCACTATCTCTGAGCTCTTCCACTTTCCTTTGCTCAGATACAATTCCTGGACTTGGGGCTGTTGGTTGATGAGAAGCTCAACGTGAGCTGACAATGTGTGCTGGCAGCCCAGAAAGCCAACCATATCCTGGGCTGCATCCAAAGAAGCGTGACCAGCAGGTCAAGACAGGCGATTCTCCCTGCCTGCTCTCTTGAGACCCCACCTGGAATACCATGTTCAGCTCTGGTGGCCCCCAACAGAAGAAGGACATGGACCTGTTAGAGTGAGTCCAGAGGAGGGCCATGAAGATGAACCGAGGGCTGGAGCACCTCTCCTATGCAGACAGACTGACAGAGTTGGGTTAGTTCTGCCTGGAGAAAAGAAGGCTCTGGGGAGACCCTCTAGCAGCCTTCCAGTATCTAAAGGAGGCCTATGAGAAAGCTGGAGGGACTTTTTGCAAGAGAATGTAGTGATAGGACAAGGGGCAATGGCTTTAAAGTGAAAGAGGGGAGATTTGGATTAGATCTAAGGAAGAAATTCTTCACTCAGAGGGTGGTGAGGCACCAAACAGGTTGCGCAGAGAAGTTGTGGATGCCCCATCCTTGGAAGTGTTCCAGGCCAGGTTGGATGAGGCTTTGGATGAGGCTTTGAGCAACCTGAGCTAGGGGAAGGTGTTCCCATCCATGGCAGGGGGGCTGGAACTAGATGATCTTTAAGGCCTCCTCCAACCCAAACCATTCTATGATTCTATGATCCAGTCTCTTGTTCTTTTAATCGTACTATCTCTCTCCATTTTGCCATTTTCCAGCTTCTTCCTTCTCTTAATCACAGCCTCTGTCTGTCTCAAACCAGGCTCCATTCTTTGAAATAATAATCTATTCTCTCCTCCTATCGCTCTTTTTTTAACCTGACTGCACCTTGGTTAAAAAAAGAAAAAAATAACCCCTAGATAAAAGGAGAAACTTGCAGCTTTATCAGGCTTTTTTTGAGACAGCTGTCTTTGGTAACAAAGGAGCAGCCTTTCCCAATATGTAACAATCTCTACTCCAGACAAAGTTTCAGGGTTCAGTGTTGGAATTTCCTCAATACTTTTTTTTTTAATTACTTTTTTTTTTTTTTTTTAAAGAAAGACTTTTCTTTCATCTCATGCTTGGAAACACCTGGACAGTTTTAATTAAAGCTTAAGGAAAAAACATAAAAGATCCATCACAAAGTTTTAGGCAAGTCATTAGTGTCCGACATAATTTAGCAACTGCAAAGAGAGTCTTAAAATAGGAAATATTAGCTCTAATTGAGTAACTTCAACCACAGCAATATAGTGATGAGAAAGGAAGAACACACAGTTCCCAGCATATTTAATCAGTAAAATATACATCTTACAGAATATACACTCTTTATTAGAAACCATATTTAAAGATTTTCTCCCTTTTCACTCCCTACAGCTACAGGGCAGGATCGACTACATCTTTGACAGGTTTTTTCCAGGTTATAGAGTTTCCAGTCATGGAAATCTGTAGAATGAAAACAGGTAGCTCACTCCAGAGCTAAATTTTCTCATTAAAAGCCTGTTTTCCTTCTGTGCTATCTAACCAGAAAACTCCTTATTGCAATTTAAAAGTATTGTTTCTTGCCCATCTACCTTGGACATAGGGAACAAATTATTCTCTTTCTTTCTGCAGCAGCCTTTCACATCTTGGAAGACTTTTGTTCCTCCACAGTCTTCCCTTCTCTGTGTACAAAAGTCTGATTTTCCTGATAGATCACATTTTATAGATCTCTGATCATTTCAGTATCTCTGCTCAAGACTTATTCTAACTGGTCCACATATTTCTTGAAATGGTTGTTCTTGGCTCTGGAAGGCTTCTTCTGCAATACTGCTGCCAAGAGCAGCAGATATTGAAAGCAAAATGAGAATAGAATTCATGCTTTTTAAGGAGAAGTAAGGAAAAAAGAAAATTTATTTCCAATCCAAGTTTTCTTACAGCACTGTAGTCTCTCTGACAGGGCCATCCATTTTCAAGCATTTAACTTGGCGGCTGAGTATATTTTCTACATGCTCTATACAAAGCCAGATTAAAGTATTTACGTATCATGGCAAGAAGATTAGACCTTTATTATTGAATAGTGTCAAACAAACTTCAGCACCTATTCATTTGCAAAAAGTCTCGATGATTATGGTCATTACATATAGTAAGGCAGTCTCATAAAAATGTCACTTTTATAAATTTCTGAAATAGAAATCCACATCTAGGTCATAAGAGCTTTTCTAGTTACAATAGTCTATTCTGCTTACCATATTGAAGTTGAATATAAAGCTACTTATTCTGTGACAACTGAAAGAGATTTACAGCTAATGTACTCTCTCTAAACTAAAGGAGGTACAAAGTGGCCAATCTTACTACATTTCAAAAGAGTGATCTATCTTAGGGAGGACAAGTGGTAATGTTCCCTTTTTCAATTCTGCTGGAAGAAAACATGCTGTGTTTTTTTTCCTCCAAGGATTAAAGGAGAATGAAACCTGTAGAGGTTGTCTTGCAAACAGGCTTCATCAGTCAGCTCTTTTAAACTGCTCCACTCCCAACAGTTTAGTGGGTTCTTTCTGTCCTTGGGCAGTCATGGAAGCAACCACAAGATACTACTCCAGTCCTTTACTCACAAACTGCCAAACACCCCTCCTACCATACCTTCCTCTTCCAGGGTCTTCACTACACTGCTCAACAGGACTTAATCCTTAAAATTAAAGTTACTGTATCCTCTCGTAACAGTTTGCTGAAACTTACATTTAGTGACTCTCATCCCCAGTTTCTACTCCTCACTCGACAACTTTCTCTAAGCAGGGGTCAAGGACCTATTTTAATTCAACTCTTCAAAAGAGGTCTAAAAAACAGATCTCTTCAGAAAGATATCATCATTCATGTTCTTAAAATCAGCATCTTCTTTTTTGTTCCGAGTCGGGCATAGAAGATCAGCGGTAACATTTGAAATTTTTGGGTGTCTTACTGAACAAACTTCATTGTTTTTTGTCCACCATAACCACAACAGTTTGAACTGTTGTACAGTTCAAGCATTTACATTTGTTTGAACTGTAAATATCTACCTATAAAAGAAACAGCTTCTAAAACCTCTGATTTCTACTACAAGGTATGACACGTGGGGGGGTCAGTGGCATACAGACAGGATCAGCAATAACAATTCCATAAAAACATGCTCTTGCAATAGCATAATTTCAATGCATTGTTACAGAATAAACACACACATTTGCAAAATACAACATACCGCATTTCCCATCATGGTGTAGGACTTCCCAGATCCAGTCTGTCCATATGCAAAAACACAAGCATTATAACCTTCAAAAGCAGATTTAAGCACATCTGTACCAAGATTTTTGAAAACCTAAAAACAAAAAAGTTTTTTAAGACAATGGAAGTTTAGGGAAAAAAAGTTGTCATCAGTCCAGCATAGCAAGTATTAAACAATAGGCTACCACAATATAAGCTATTGGCATCAACCAACGATATTTGCTATAGGGCAGGAAATTAGTACTTCAATTAAAATACCGAATTTTACTATTGTATTTAGTTTACAGCACTGTAACAGTATATTTTCTACTTCCTTTTCTGTCAGAGATCTACCTGACATGCAGAAGTACAAAAAAACCTCACTCTCTTCTTTCTATAGCTCCAATTTCTTCCAGTTGATCTCAGATACTACATTCACTTTTCCTTATTGTTAATATTTAATTACTTTTTGTATCTTTGCTTATTCTCCACGTTCTGCAAATATCCAGCCCCTTCTCAAAAGCAAATATTTCAGCGATCCTGTCAGTTTCTTGGTTTGTGTTTTTGGAGGATTTTGTTAGGTAGGTTTTGGTTTTTTACTTTAACCAAGTGTAAGAAAATGGCCCATTATTTTCTCCAATATTCCTCCCTAACTGGCTTTTACATACTGTTATTTCTGAGGCTGGCACACACGGAAATATGTTTTCTATATGATAAGTTACCCGCTTTCATCAGCTATCCTGTTCTCTTTCGCCTTCAACATTTACAAACCGGTAACGATCCCACCTCCGCTCTCCATAATATGGGAGTCTGTACATCTTACCTAGTTATCTTCAGCTCTCACCAGATGCCTTCACCACCTTCTCTGCAGTACTGGCTCCAGTATCCCTCCCAGATTCCTGACCTTTAATTATCATTACCCCTCGTTTCCATCCATACCCCCACTGGCCCACTAGGCAAGGAGTAACACTTGGTGCAGCACTTCTCTCAACGAAAATATTAATCTAGGCCTCCCAATCCAGATATGATTGTCAAAAATCTCATAGGTGCTTCACATAATTTGGCTAGTAGTCCAAATTAATTTAAATTAATTGAGGTGTACAAGTCATTATTAATAACAAATGGCACACACACAGCACAATCATGCTACTCCTCCCGTGCAGGAGTGTTGAGTAATTTCTTTAATCATTAATGCTCAGTTACAAGCATGCCTTTGGAATACTTAACTTGACCTTCCCTTGAGCAAAGGAATTACAACGCTGTAATCTGTTACACTTCTCAGAGGAAGATTATAAAGATCAGCCAACGCACAATTTCACTTGCACTTGTCATTTGAAAAGGAGCATCTTAGTTGAATTCTCCCTCCTGAGTAACTGCTCCTTTATTTTCTTCCTTCTTTTTCCTTTCCCTATGTCCAAGTTTGTACCTCACCATCTAGACCAAGTCTTTATACACTACTGTTTTGACTGCATTTTCCCTTTTTAAAAATTTATGGATACCTTGCAAAGTGACTTGAGATAGTACATAGGACAGTTACAGTCAGTGTTGGGTGAACACAGAGGCTTAATGCACAGGTCAGAAGACAAGACATCGTTAGGATGGAACTTTGTTGGAACCAAATTACTAGGACACCGGTTTGTCACAGAAGGGCAGCAAACTCATCAAAATTCTATTTGTTTCTCTTTCGTGTATACAAACTAAGTAGCTTGATGGTAAACTGCCACTCCCACTCTAATTTTTGAATACTAAAGCTTATTTTGCATCTGCAAGGCATATTAATGGGGCGTGCAGTATTAGATAGACTTCCATTTATTATTTTTCTGCCTTTCAAAAGGAAAAATGTAACAATCATGAACAAAGCGCACTAGGCAACCGCATTACCAACAATCAAGATCAATTTTATTCCACGGCAAGATGAATGTGAACGAAAGACAACCGTCTTGTATGCCACTGGTGCAGTAAACTGGAAATTCTGCAGTAACTTGATAAGAGCTTAACTACAAAGTCTTCCAATTAAATATGAAAAGAATAACACAAGCAAAACAATAGCTTGTGCAGCATTTGTTTAGAGATTGCACTCCCATGGTTTGAAAACTACTTTTGTTTTCAGTGTGCTGGGCACATTGTAATTAAAACAACATTTGACACAGAGACAACAATATTTTTTGTGGCTGAGCAAGAGAAGTTAGCATTCTTGCCAGTAAGGTCAAAGGAGGCAGTCTGGGGTTGGGGGACATGCCATAATAGCAGAATATTGAACGTGGACATCTAAGCCATGTTCAGGATTTGTTGTTAGCATCCTGTTACCACAAAAAATAAATCTCACAGCTTTAAAAAAAAAAAATCATTTTTCAAGGCTGCTGCAGCGATCCCTATATGGGCATTTTAATTTATTTTTTTTCCTTTAAGCTCCTGACACAGGCAAGTTATACTGTTCTTGCTTCAACCTGACACACTTTGAAACTGAGGCAAAATGGCACCAATAAAGAAAAACTTAAAATAAGGAAAACTTAATTTATCACTTATGCATGGAAATTGGACATCAACACAGGATATAACTTGGATATCCATTTATATTAATTTAAGTTTCCTTAGCAAATGGCTGTTTTAACAAGAATTAACTTCATTATTTCACAGCACATTCAGATTCTGGAAAAAAAGTGCATTGCAACAGCCTAACACCACAATGGGCTCTCTTCCTAGGATTCTTCTGATGAGGTTTTGTCTAACCTAGCTTTCCAGAAATATTTAAAGTCAAGTAAAAAACCAGCTACCTAAAGGATCCAAGAATCAAATACCCATAAACCTAAGCCACAATCAGTGCTTAAGAAGAATTTCTATAACTACTTTTATAGTACATTTTGCAGACTTTTCCCAATATGCATTGATACATCATTAATACTGTTTTATGGAGATGTACTCATCTATACCTGGAAGAACTGAGAACAGGGTAATCAGTTACCACTGAGCATGAAACTAAATAATATTAAACTGAGACCCTCATTGATCTGCATGAGCAAACTTAAAGCAATCATTTGTTGCATCTGCAGAACGGCAACCAAAAATCTCAAGTTTCAGTTAGAATCGGAGCAGGAAAATACAGGAGCAAAGCTACTTTAATTAAAATAAATAAATAACTCTCTACATGCTCAACTTCGAGCATTTTCTAAAGTTCCAGTAAAGCTATACGGCCTGAACCACCTTCTAAAAACATCCACTAGAAATTAGGGTACCAATCATTGCACTCAAACACACGACTTCATCAATTTGATGAAGTGCCAAAGTAATTAGGGTATTTCCACATCAACGCCCAAATAAATGTATACTTCTTGATATTTCAGTGAATATAATAAAAACTGTGTTACCTACAAGCACATCATTGAGAAGTAACAATCCAGAAAGTTTAAGAATATACATGATCAAATGTTTGGATTAAATGTTAACGAGTAACTCAGTGAAATAAAGAAGCTTTCAAAAAAACAGAGGAGCTACTGCTTACACTGATGGTTAAATAGAAATTTCAAGTATAAATTCCCTATTAAATGAATTATAGTCATTATATATAATGGCAAAGCTTGTTCTTCTCATAAATACTTCGAATTGGCTTCAACTTATTGTTTCCTGTTATTAGCTTTAATTATGAAGCTTTTTAGGATTAACCATATCAATATTCCTGATTTTGAGAGTTACAGAACAGATGAGGTACACACCAAAAAGGTATGTATCCAACTGGCTTACAGTATATTCAGCAAATCCTTGCATTACTTTAAGGAGAAAGAAATACTCTCACTTCAAGCTTACAGCATCCCAAGTTCCACAAAAGCAAAAGAGAAGATAACAATCACAAACCACTTGAATTTTACTTAACAAATTTATTAGGGAATGTGGAGTAGCAAAAAGGTTCAATGTTCACATGAAATGCGAGGTCAGGGAGGGCCTATCTGTTCATCTGCCATGGCAGGGGATTTGTAGATGATCTTTGAGGTCTCTTCCAACCAAAACCATTCTATGATTCTGTGATCTAAATAACGCCTATAGCTCTGAGTTTCATTTTCTGTCCTGAGTGTGTAGGAAGAAAGGCAGTTTTGTCTTTTCCTAAGCTGAATACTCAAGGGAGAAGAAAAAAGAATCTTCTTCAATGTGTACCAACACTTTGGACAAAAAAAAAAAAAACAAACCACAAAACCAACACTTCAAGCAGATAAGAATGTTTCTGTCTAAGTGAATTAAAGATACACGCTTGTTTCTCAAAAGAGATTTTCTTCAAAAAAGCTTTTCAAAAACAAATTTAGTGCTTAGTTTTCTAACTTGACCTTACAAGGCAAATCAGGCAAGAGAACTAGAAAGAAGGCATTTAGCCTGCTGTATTAGAAAACACAGCACTTAATATTCATTAAGTTAAAAAAAAATAAATTCAAATTCTCAGATACCTAGGGAATTTCTAAATTACACAAGAAGCACTTTCAATGGAAAGAAGTTAAAGAGAATGCTTTCAAGCCAAAGAAAGAGGGAAAGGAGAAAAAAAAATCAATTATTAACATTCAGAAATCATACCATTTCTTGACAAACAAAGCTGGGACTTTTACTGTCTGCTGAGAAATAGGAAAAATCATAGGTAAACGTCTTAGTTCTTTCTCGTCCTGTGTCTCCAGTACCACCCTCTGGTACCTATTTTAAAAACAAACAAGCAAACAAAGAGAGCTGGTACAATACACCCCAATGAAGTAATTAAAAACATTTCACAATAAATAATCAGAATGCAAATTTAACATAAGGCTATACACATTTAGAAATGTATAATGACAGGTTAGCTTATTATTCCAACAGTGAAAAAATTAGCAACAGATATACCCTT